TGTATTTGCACCGTGGAAAGTTGTATTGTGTTTAGTTTCACCACAATCACATCGGTACCTAGCTCTCCCTCCATTAAAAGACATGAAATAGTCCATCCCAAAGATGCTATCTCACCCTCAACACCCATGCTCTCCATAACTACATCTCTCCATATCTTCAGTCAAATACTAGTAAATAGCACTGCCCTCTCTTACTGTTTTTGATTGTCCCTGTTTTAATTCCTGCCCCAGCCTTTCTCTCTTTCTAGTTATGGCCTCCATGGTTTGTTCTCCTTATGTCATTCAATTATAGCTCCACTCTGGTGGCTTTCTGCTAGGTGTTGGTTCCAGTTATGTAGATCTATGCTCTATTCATCCTTGTATTCATACCTGATTAGGATCTCAGATTAGACTATGGACTTTTTTTCTTGCCTCTTCCCCTGTTATTAGATGGTACTATTCTGTTTTTTTTGTTGTTGTTAGTTAGTTTCTTCTTTCCTTATATTCCTCAAATTTTACTGGTTATTTTGAGCCATGGTATAGATCAGGGATTCCCAACCCAGTCCTCAAGTACACCCTAACAGTCCAGGATTTAGGGATTACCCAGCTCTGTCTAAAAAAAAAAAATCTTTAGTATAGATAATGCTCCTACAGTCTCCCTACTATTTCATTCTCGAACATTGAAGAGTTAAACCACCTTGTTTATGTATCACTAGCCACACCTCCCCTGGCTGTGATGACACCTTTCCTGAAAAAGATCTCAAATATGTATTATCTCTTGCTCTGTTCGTTTCCCACTAGAGCCTGCAGCAACATCCTGTGTTTGATTAAAGTTCAATTAACAGAGCAGGATATAAGAAGATAAGTAAACACACTATACGTTTTATTTGCCTATTCATAAATCTGTGAGGCGACAGTTTGTCTTTCATAAAGTGATAAGGAACCCAGAACCTTATTTATTAACAGTGTGAGTTGTCTCAGTAAAGATAATAAATAAAAGAACTATGTTGGAGCCAGATATTGACATTAGTGTATACACCAGCTAAACGTACAAAACACAGATGGTATGTTCATATGTCAAAAGTCCTGTTGACTTGTCCACAACTAATGTGGCTATAAGCTGACAAAAATAAAAACTTTTACCAACATGTAGACAATATGAGTGAAAAAACACTTAGCTTAAGGTGACTATGGTAAAATGGAGAATTCTAAATCGGTTCAGCTACACCTCCTAGTGGTCTCCTTTTGACATACAGAGTCCCAAGTCTCAAACTACTAACAGGGTTATGCACTGAACTCCAAAAGGCAAAACTGAGGCAAAAATAGCCAAGCTTTCACTATGGCTGATTTGGCGAACTTTTCCAGATCAGATTTTTGTCTACTTTTGCCATTCAGAACTAATTAGAATTATGTCACACAGACAAGGTTATTTACTAAAGTGAGAACTGACAGGAATTCAAAGCGACTTCCAAATTTAGGCCCAAAATATCTGAAGTCAACTCTGCTCCCTGATTGGTTTCCATTTTGAAATTCACTTTGAACTCGTATCATTTATCACTTTATTAAATAACTCTGAACAATTCTGTTAGTGTATAGCCTCATGTAATATCAATTGTATTCTGCATAATATACATTACTTGCTGTAACTTATTTTCATGGGTTAAGACTACTTTTCTAAATGATGCATTCGCTGTCAACTGGAGTTTTGGAATAATTTCAGTGGTATAAGTATGTTTTTATTTAAGTTTACCCAGGCCAAAGACCAACAGGGATGCGATCCCAGTGAATCGACAACAGACGCAGAAAATCCATCGTCGCAGGCAGCGACAGACCATCAGGATCCACTGCCGTCCCCCTACAGTGGAGAACTCTTACTCCAGTGTGAGCTCCCAAGTTTGTGGACATTGGATGAAGGACTTCGTGGTGGCCTTGTTCAGACTCTCTTGTATTACCTCTCAACCTCCTTCACCTGCCACCGAGCAAGGGCATCGGCTGACTCGAGACGGCATACCAAAAGCCCTCAAATAGCCCGTAATTTGACACTTACTTGACTGCTCCAATACTCACTTGCCTCCCCAAGTTTTTTATTTTCTTTTTGCTCATTCAGATCACCATTTTATTTTATTTGCTTACTTTCGGTGCAACTATGATGTGTCACAGTTTATATCTTATGCTAGGATATTAGGAGATGATGTTAAGATTCAGTAGCTCTATGATTGCGCAGCTTGATCTGATACACATGCTATCTGTCACGGGTGGCGGTCTGAAGACTGGGAACCCAGTGTGTCTGATGTTGAAAATAGGAGGCTCAGCGTGGAAGTGGACAATCAGGGTCTGGTGCAGGGTAACCACACGCCCCCTGGTGTTGTGCACCAGCGTTTGTGCGCTCACATACCAGAGCCCTGATGCAGCTTAGCGGATGCCAGGTGCTTATAATAAGCAGATATGTATCCAGTACTAGAAACAAGGTAAGACTAGAACAGGCACCAAACAAGAAAACGGAACCCAGAACTGGAGCAGGACAGAAAGCAGAACCCAGAACACGTACGCAATACATGAGGGAAACAAGAACAGGACAAGGACAGGACTGTACATGAACTGGAAATACAAGACAAATAAAACGAGACAAGAGATACAAGGCAAAACAAGAGGAGACATAACTAAGTACTATATATGTAATAAACATTGGAGATTTAGACATACATAAATGGCCAAGATTTATGCAGCCCACCACTGCGCCAAAGTACTCCAATTATGGTGGGTCCTAACGGCCTAGATATGCATGACCAAATAAACAACAATAAAACACACACAGTACTTACCTGCAAAGAAAGGAGCAAAGGAAATGAGACCACTGCTTGCAGGAACAGACTGAAACAAAAAGAATTAGTGGCAAAGGAATGGGTGAGTCAACAAAAACCAAACTTAAAACAAATTTAAAGGAATCCAAGAGACTGGGAATTCCAGGAACGGAATAAAGGAATGAACCCAGAAAACCCAGCATAAAGAAAACCAGACATTGAACAGATAACCAGAAAAACCAAGAAAAACTAAACAAGAATTGTAAAAAGAGTACTGGATATCAGAAGCCAAGGTGAGACATCTAAACAGAACGGAACAGGACGTGACACAATCTGATGGTTGATATGTCCTTACCTAGCCATAGATCTTTATCACCTAACAGCCTTACCAGGGCCATGACAGGGCAAAAAATACATCTGCCACATAGGCATCTACCCTCATAACCATCCTATTATCCCAAGCATGTGGCGACACATATATACTACACCAGTATTCCCACTAACACCTAACCTACAGTATTCCTACAGGCACTTATTTTATTAGCTTTCAGGCGCCTATATATGCCAGTTACTCCACTACTGTTTAGCGTAGATTGTCCTACTAGGCACATTTGTTATCAAAAATTATCACAAAAAAAAATGTGCTGTATTATTGACTGCCCTGTACTGTTTAACTACGTATACTAATTTTCTTGCTACAGCCAGTGGCGTACACACAACCCATGGGGCCCCGGTGCGAAAACTGATCCGTGGGCCCACCCCCAGCACGCACTTACTCTGCGCAGGCTGGGGCCGCAACACATGGCGGTGGGCACCTGGTCGCCGCGGTATGTACGCCAGATACACATACACATGCAGATACACATACACTTAAAGGACCACTACAGACACCCAGATTACATCAGCTCAATGAAGTGGTCTGGGTGCCAGGTCCCTCTAGTTTTAACCCTGCAGCTGAAAACACTGAGGGTTAATAAAGCCTCTAGTGGCTGTCTCATTGACAGCCGCTAGAGGAGCTTCCGCAATTCTCACTGTGAAAATCACAGTGAGAAGACGCTGAACGTCCATAGGAAAGCATTGAGTAATGCTTTCCTATGTGCGGTTTGAGTGCGTGTGCAGCTCTTGCCACGCATGCGCATTCGGAGCTGAGAGGCTGATCGGGGCGCAGAGATCCCCAGCGCCAAGGGAGTCCGGCGCGGGAGAAAGGTAAGTGCTTAAGACACACACACTCTCATGAACAGACGCATACACACTAGCTAATAGACACACACATTTACTGACAAACACACACTCAGTGACAGACATACATATACACTCACTGAGACAGACACACACTCACTAACAGACGCACACAAACTAACACACTCAGTAACAGACACACATAGTAACACACTCACTGACACACTCTAACACTAACACATAAACACTAACACACACACACACTAACACACACACACTAACACACACACACACACACACTAACACTAACACACACGTTTTTTTAAATTAAATTTAATCCCCCAGCCTCCCTACCTTTGGGAGTGCTGAGGAGATTCCCTGGGGTCCAGTGGTGTCACCCGGCGGGCAGGCAGGCTGGCGGCGCGCGAGGGAGCACTCTCCCCTAAGTGCTCCCTGTTCAGCTCCCTCGCGAGCCGCGTACTGATGCCGGAGCCGGAAGATGACGTCATATTCCGGCTCCAGTATCAGTGCGGTGCGCTAGGGAGCTGAAGAGGAAGCACTCAGGGGAGAGTGCTCCCTAGAGCGCCCGCCAGCCTGCCTGCCCGCTGGGTGACACCAGGGCCAGCCTTGGGGGGCCCTGAAGTGGCCGGCTCATGGGCCCCCCAGGAGAAGAGGCTGGCCACAGTGGTGAGTTGATAGTAAAGAGAATATAGACAAAAAAAATAGAAATCCGTCTGGGAACTAAAACAGTATCTTGACGCTCAGCGGGCGACATGCTGGGGGACTATGTCGGAGTGAGAGTCCCAGGCCCAGCACCCAAGTCAGCCTGTAAATTGAACTTTAATCACACACAGAAGGCTCAGGCAGGGTCTAACAATTTATTAACAGTGCAGGAGAAATAAATAAATTCTAACATTAACAAAAATAGTTGCAATAATGGAAGGTTAAATGTTACATCTCTCTTTTTAGGAAGGCTGTGCAAGTCACATGTGTGGAGGTGTGGCTAGGGCCGCATAAACAAAGTGATTTAACTCATAAATGGCTCATAACTATGCAATGAGATTGCAGGGGCACGATCTATACACCAATACTGCTTCATTAAGCTAAAGTTGATTTTGTGTGTATAGGTTTCCTTTAACCCCTTAAGGACCAAACTTCTGGAATAAAAGGGAATCCTGACATGTCACACATATCATGTGTCCTTAAGGGGTTAAACCAATGTTCCTGTGGATTTAAAAAATTGTGCATATCAGTTATACAGATTCCAAATTGCCTACCAACCAACCCATTATTAAAAACAGTGCTCTTACAGAAATAAAAACTAATTTATGTATTTACAAAAAATTAACAAAAACGACTTTAAAGGAACACTATAGTCCCCCAAATTACTTTAGCTAAATAAAGCAGTTTTAGTGTATAGATCATTCCCCTGCAATTTCACTGCTCAATTCACTGTCATTTAGGAGTTAAATCACTTTGTTTCTGTTTATGCAGCCCTAGCCACACCTCCCCTGGCTATGATTGACAGAGCCTGCATGAAAAAAAAAACTGGTTTCACTTTCAAACAGATGTAATTTACCTTAAATAATTGTATCTCAATCTCTAAATTGAACTTTAATCACATACAGGAGGCTCTTGCAGGGTCTAGCAAGCTATCAACATAGCACGGGATAAGAAAATCTTAATTAAACAGAACTTGCAATAAAGAAAGCCTAAATAGCTCTCTCTTTACAGGAAGTGTTTATGGAAGGCTGTGCAAGTCACATGCAGGGAGGTGTGACCAGGGTTCATAAACAAAGGGATTTAACTCCTAAATGGCAGATGATTGAGCAGTGAGGCTGCATGGGGCATGTTCTTTACACCAAAACTGCTTCATTAAGCTAAAGTTGTTCAGGTGAATTTAAAATGTTAGCCAAAATAGTTGAACTGACCTGGAGAATTTTTTTAAGTTCAACTATTCTAGCCTAAAGTATGAAATTCACCTTGAAACCCGTTGAATTCCTAGTCTGGAAAGTAGTTTATTAAAATATTTGACTGGCAGAGCTGCTTACCCGTTTACTTGTGTAGTTCAAACCAAGCTGTCATTAGAACATCAGTACAAACTGTCAGAGCTTTACAGGAATGTACTGCACCAAGACAATCTACTGAACATTCCCTTCACTGCACCCACCCTTTTCCTTCAAGAATTATTATGTAATAATTCAGCTGCATTATATAAATAGCATCACTATCTTTTTTATGCAATGCCTGCTGCTGTCTGCAGAGCAATATATTTAACATAGTGGATCCTCGCTGCATTTAATAACCACAGGGAAAGAGCTACTAAAGACGGTTCTGAAAGATGAAAATGTTCTGTTGGAAATATAATTGGTAAAATGTGTGTATAAAGGGAGATATGGAAAGGACATTGAACAGAGGGAGGCAGTGTGAAGAAAGAGAGAACTAAATAAGAATATACAAGAGGAATTTAAAATATGAGTCTCTGATGGGGCAGTTTATTAGGATAATTGAATAATTCAATACCCTATTCCTTGGATCTACACGTACAATCCTAGTCACGGAGAGACAATAACATACATATGTATATTATCCCACTGTGTAATATTATCACGACATCCAAGTAGAATGGAAATTAGTTATTAATCTTTAATTGAAAACTTTTGCATTTTCAATAACCAATCCTCCCCCTCCCCCCCAACATACAGAGGTGCACGCTATATATAAAAGTACTGTCACATTAAAAACAGATGTGTTTATTTCAAAGTTACTTGAGGTAGTTTAGGGCTCTTACGATACCTCAGATGACATTTTCTTAAAATATAAAAATAAGCAATAGAACTGTATGCTCACTGTTCTGTGGATTCAAAAACATCAGCTGAGTGTTAACTGTGCATACTAAATAAGATATCTCAACAAAATTAAGCATTACTCATCAAAGGAGGTGTATGTGTGTCTAGGGAGGGTTTTAACTCCTCAGAGATAGGAATTGAAATAAACACAAAAACACAAGAAGTCCAGAACAATGCCTTTTCTCATGTTTATTTTCTAAGCCAGGAAATTTCAAGTTTCAGGTCAAATAGCAGAGTTGGGAAAAGAGCTAAATTGGAGAATGTTTGCAGTTCAGCTATATTGGACTAAAATTCCCAGCAATTCACAGTTTGGTCAGTATTGCTATATTGTTTGTTTACCCTATTGATATCTGAAACATTATCTTTGAAATGAAAATTATTATAATAAAAGAATCGATACACTAAACATCAAATTGGAATATTTTAAAACTGAATTGCTAGCAGTGATTATAGCTTTGGTAAAAAGGACACTATAGTCACCACAACAACTACAGCTTATTGTATTTGTTTTTGTAAGTAGAATCATTCCTTTCAGGCTTTTTGTAGCAAACACTTATTTTTCAAAGAAAATGCAGTGTTTACATTACAGCATGGGGATACCTCGACAGATAATTACTAGAGGTGCTTCATGGGGGCAGTGCTGCATACTGTGCAGCACTGCCAGTCAGTGTCTTCGCCCTCTCCATGCAGACACTGAACTTTCCTCATAGAGATTCATTGATTCAATTCATCTCTTTGAGGAGATGCGGATTGGCCAGGGCTGTGTTTGGCTAGTGCTGCCCTCTCCTGATCTGCCTCTGACAGTCTCAGCCAATCCAGTGCTTTTCTATGGGAAAACAAGCATTGTGATTGGCTCAGATCACCACTTCTGATAATGTCAACCAAGCAGGCAGAAAAGGGGCAGAGTCAGCACCAGCAGACTGGAGCAAAAATAAGATGTTACTATATTTAGGGGGGCAAGGGAGGGGAGGGTGCAGGGAGGCTAGATAGTGATTTTAACACTATAGGGTCAGGAATACATGTTTGTGTTCCTGACCATATAGTGTTCCTTTAATATTTTATTCAAATTTTGCTGTTACAGCATCAATTTTGCTTTTCAGTTTTAAATTTGCTACAATTAGATTTTTTTGTGACTGTACATTAAATTAATATTGCATTACAACTAGCAAATATTTAATAGGATACTATAGATACAAAAACATACATAGTCCCATTTTTACTGTCAGATAAAAATGCACTGTTAATTTGATAAATCTGTTAAATTTCCTTATTGTGATAAAAAAAATAGTTGCTATATTTTCTAAGCACTAGCAGATTAAACTATATTAAATGGCACTTGTTAATTACTCCTTCCAGCCAGCATAATCATTCCTGTCAGCAGCAGCAGCAACCATATTGTTCGGCACCTGGCTAGCAGATCATACATTTACCTTGCCTATTCGGCAGACAGGACACAGCTGTTTAACAGCTGGGGTCAGCATGTTAAAGAATCCTCCCATTAACTTACAGATGTATAACTAATAAGAACCCATTACTCTAACGCAGCAAGTAATATTGATTTTATACTTTCAATACCCATATAGGTTCAAAATTTAGGTTCCAGGAATTCACCTGCAATAAACAAAATTATGTCAACTTACTCTCAGACAACTGAAGTTAATACAATTTTGTTTAAAGGGAAACTCCAGGCACCCAGACCACTTCTGCCCATTGGAGTGGTCTGGGTGCCAACTCCCACTACCCTTAACCCTGCAACTGTAAATATTGCAGTATTCATAAACTGCAATATTTACATTGCAGGGTTAACTCCTCCTCTAGTGGCTGTCTACTAGACAGCCACTAGATGGCACTTCCAGGTTTCTAGCACAGATTTTCTGTGCTATAGCGTCGCTGGACATCCTCACGCTATGTGAGGACCTCCAGCGTTGCTAAAATCCCCATAGGGAAGCATTTTTCAATGCTTTCCTATGGGGAGGTCTATTAGGTCTCATCCCGCCGGCGGCCGCGCATGCGCAACCGGTCTCCCCCGCCGGATGACGTCAAGGAGCGTGAGCGGACCCTGGACCAGCGCCGAGGGACATCGATGCTGGACTCCGGTAAGTCGCTGAAGGGGTTTAAACCCCTTCAGCAACCTGGGATGGGGAGTGGGAAGGAGAGGGGACCTGCACTGCCAGGAAACGATTTGTTTTCCTGGCACTGGAGTGTCCCTAGTGTTATGCATTAGGGGGTAATCTATCAATTTCAATTGACTGAGAGTGAACTTTTGGATTTCACCATTTTTTTACAGTAGACAACATCAGATACATATTTTTCTACCCTTTTGAAAGCATTTTAAAAGTTGTGCTATTTTACACAGGCTCTGTAATTGCAGACGTATTTCTCAAATGAGAATAAGGTGGTACACAGTCTAAATACCTAAATTCAAATATTTCACACTGTAGGTTAGAACACACAAAGGGTTATTCAATAAAGTCAGAATTTCAAAGTGAGTTTAAAATTGTAGGTCAAAATAGCTAAAGTGGAAAAGAAATCAGCTATGCTTTTAGCTCTGCTACTCTAGCCTTAAAACATGAGATTCATTTTGAATTTTCTTCGAAGTAAATAACCCTGAAAGCATTTCATGTTAAACGGATGCTCCAAGTATCAGAACCACTACAGCCTGCTGTCACCCAAAGAATGCAATACTGTGCATTGGAATATGCAAAGAACAGACATTGACCAGCCTGGAAGTCTTGTTCCGGGCTGGCTAATGACGATGCAGAAGGTGAAGCTACACCACCTCCAGTAACAAAGGGGTTAAACTTTGGGTTTTTTCTTTGAAACGCTGTACATACAGACTCTTGGCATCATGAACAATTCAAATCACCTTAACCATACTTTGGAACTCTCCCCAATAATAGTCATGTAAGGTTGCCCGTGACGTGTAAGGTTATTGAAAATCTATAAAAAAATTTGAATTGTTACGGAAGAGAGGTATACAAGATGGGCTATTTGCCATTTTAACTATAACAATCTTAACTTATTTGTAATTGCAAGCTTACACTTCACCGAGTGAAATAATAAAAACATAGTACAGCACCTCTCTATCAAATATACTCTTTATTTAACACAACAAAGGAGCAATGTTCATGGTGTATTCCTCAAGGCTTATTAGTGATCTGTTGTGCCTTATAAAGAGCAGAACGTTATTATTAAGAGAGATATTATTATCGTTTTATATTTTGTCAAGGATCTGGATTTTGGTATACTTGCAATCTTAATAATAAGTATAATAATCACATACAATTGTTTAAAATGAGTACTAGTGTATACAGATAAATGATGTTATAGAATATAATTCCCAAAATACCCAAAAGATGCTAAAGTCAAGAATTGTTGTAACAAAAAAAAAAAGGAGATAAAACCAAAACGAAAAAAAAAATAAACTCCAGAGAGAGCAACAATGATTGTTTATGTGTCTGAATCTGACAAGCAGTCAAAAAGTATCACAAGGATATCTCAGTATATTAGTAGTAAAATCAATCTCAGTATTGATTTTGATATTGGTTCTGCTTAACTCTTCATCCAAGTAAAATAGTTTTCTCAATAAAATCTTCATAAGCGCTCATTCCACAGTCAAATATGAATGTTATACAGGAATTCCTCATCATTAGTCTCAGCAAGTGTTGGTAGTGTCTCTGGACCAATATATGGCGCATGTAGACTCAACCCCCTCTCCTGGTCACGCACAGTAAGTTCCTGCCCCTTGCGCATGGTATACAGGAAATAGTGGAAGTCTCTGCCATATGTGTCACAGGACACAGACCAGTCATATTCTGGTTGTGCGTAATGGCGTGTGCGGAAATGAGGGGGAGAGAAGGTGACTGAGATGAAGCATCCAGTTGGGGTAAGTACTCGACTAACCTGCAAAATATAGAAAGGGTTATAGAAAAGTTAGTTAGAAGCAGTGTTCATGACAGCAGTTTGAATATTTAATAAAGATTCATAAACAATGAAGAAAAGTAGGAAGTGAAAAGAAAACTGATGTTCTGTTGATAGCTTGGATTGTTGCTGTGTTACAGAAACTTTCTAATTAAAAAATAATATATATCATTTTTTTTTTTTTTTTACTTTTTATATTACTGCCTCTCTATTTAGGTATCTTAAACTACTAAACTCAACGTTATTCCAGTGTTGGGACAGTCTCCTCAATACATCTCAGATCCGCCTCCTGTAAAGTCGGCATTACTAGTGATTTGTGTCCAATCAGATGCTTTTCATAGAGAAGCACTGGGACACATAACAAATGCACAGCCATCATTGCAATCTAATAGAGAAGCACTCACTTTCACTTTGAACTACTGGCAGAAATCCCTCCTAGCTACCTATCTGGTTGAGAGGCAAAGGGATTTTTAAAATTGCTGATTTCTTTTTTTGAAATCTGCACTTTTCTAAAACGACCCACAGGGGGCATGGAATTAACCCTTAACCCCTTAAGGACACATGACATGTGTGACATGTCAAGATTCCCTTTTATTCCAGAAGTTTGATCCTGAAGGGGTTAAACACTTTTGTCAAGTTTAAATGCTTTAGGGAACTGGAGAGTCCCTTTAATCCTAAATATTTCCAAAACCTGCCACCAAGCCATTCACGTATTCATTGTGCTCCGGTTGATTATATTTCTGGTTTACTTCAGAATGGTGATATAAAAAGAAAGTAAAGATTTATGACAAAAACAAAAAACGAGGAGTGAATGGATCTAGGCTCCTACAGATGAATTACCTGTAACATAAATAAGGTGAAAACAAAGAATGGTGAAATGAGGAAATGATTGTAGTAAAATAGATTGTGTCAACTGTCTATTGTAAGTATTAGAGATGATATAAAAAAAACTGAGCCATGCATTCATATAACTAAAATATCCTATGTGCCTGTGTGGACAGCATGTTGAACTTATAGCGGAGGATACACCACTATACAATGAAAGGAATATCTGCAGCAAAGTACCAGATAAGGTGATGGTGCTTTAAAGAACATAGGTTTGCTGTTATACCCTGTCTGCAAGACTTATATGCAGCCATGAAAAGAGAGGGAGTACTTAGGGGTAAAAGGAGGTATTTCTGTTCAGCCAATTAAAGGATTCCTCAAGGTATCTGTTTCCATGGCAACATCTTGAACAGACAACACTACCACTGTCTCCATGGAAACTCACAGGACCACACAAGCTCTCTAGTGAGCAAAGAACCCTTGAATGTCCAAGATAATATGAATCATTAATCACCATGCATACAAGGAGCTTGAGATAGTACCAAGATAAAAAGTACCTTAAAAAGTCAGATATTTCCATTGTCATCTAGCATTCAGCCCTGCTTGCTATAACATAAAGTATCTGTGCAGAGGGAACAATGGGAAAAGATATGCAAGGTAGAAGAGGAGAAGGTAGGAGACAGTAAGCTTAAAGGAACACTATAGGGTCAGGAACACAAACATGTATTCCTGACCCTATAGTGTTAACACTACCATCTAGATGACTTGTCCCCCCCCCCTTAATTCCCCTATAAAAGTTTAAAACTCACCTTATTTCCAGCGCCGCGTGGGTCTGCCAGCGCTGGCTCTGCCCCCTTTGTGACAATCTAAATGGTCGATTTTTAGCCAATCCAATGCTATCCCTATCTAAAATTGGCACGGGGCGGGGCCAAATGCCGTTTTGGCCAATCAGGACCTCCTCAAAGAGATGCATTGAATTAATGCATCTCTATGAGGAAAATTCAGCATCTCTGAAAAAGCAGTGTTTGCATGAAAAAAGCCAGAAGGGAGCTATTATACTCACCAGCACAACTACATTAAGCTGTAGTTGTTCTGGTGACTATAGTGTCTCTTTAACCCCTTAGAGACACATGACATGTCTGACATGTCATGATTCCCTTTTATTCCAGAAGTTTGGTCCTTAAGGGGTTAATTAATAAAGAGATAAAAACTCCATTTGTGTCAAAAGGTGGTGTTTTTGCATGTATGTGACCTAATTACCAACCTATAAAATCAGATGTATGGGCAAATTGAAAAATGGCATTTGTGCTCAAAGAAAAAAAGAAAATGCCACCTTGACACAGACACACAGGCTCCCCATGTATTCCAAGGTTTGTTTTCATGCACGTTATACAAGAACGTTCCAGTTTGGAAGGTCACCACAGGCTTATATTTCAGATAGCATTTGCAAAGTATCAGATTTTGCTGAACGTGGTCCAGCTGCAAATTTGCAGAGAACTGCACACTTAATTTGTATAAGACTCCCCTACCTGGCAAGATGTATAGGGATTTGCCTATCCTCTTTTCATTAAAGGTTAAAAAATAATAGAGCAGAGGTGGATTTTAAACATAATTCTTTTTTTTTCTTTTTTTTATATATGTTTATTTTTTTATTGAGTCAAGCAAAAGAGTCATACAGTACATATACCATAACAATATAGTACTTTTCGAGTAGGCTTTAAACATCTTGCATTTAAGTAACAACTTGAAAAAGGCAATAGGATATAATAAACATATAAGTAGTATAACCCTTTATTATTTTTTTCTCTTTCTTTCTTTCTTTTTCTTTCTTTCGGTCCTTTTTTATTATTTCGTTTGTTTTTACAAGTTAACATTTCTTTATAATTAAAGTACAAGCAAATAGTTAAATTTGTATGAAAGACAATACTACATTTAAATTACATACATTCAGCATTCACCCAAGGTCCTTATCGAGGGGGAAGGGGGGCAGGAGATGACATATTCTTTCCGTCTAGAATAAGCTCGCATTGTTCTCCTTGAATTATTTCCAGGGAACCCAAAGTTTCAGATATTGATATTGACGTATTGAGACTGGTCTAAATGACATGAGGCCTCCATTCTATGTTGGTAATCTATTTGTTGCAATATTTCTGTCCAACCCAAACCACCCTTAGATTTCCATTTTCGTGCAATACAAATTTTAACGGCTAATATTATGTGAACAATTAGACAGTTCTGAGTATGATTTCCAGGTAACAAAATATTAAAAAGAAAGATCTGAGGAATAAGAACAAAGTAAATTCCCAGCAGAGACTTAAGACAATTCTGTAAGGGCTTTATAGTTTTTTTTAACTCAGGACATCCCCACCAGATATGCAAGAATGAACCCACGTTTGTTTCGCATCGCCAACACATTTGTGATGTATTGGAGTAAACTTTGTGCTGTCTAACTGGGACTAAGTACCAGCGTAAAGTTATTTTGTACTGAGTTTCTATTAGAGTCATGCTGTGAACATTCTTCCTAACAATCATCAAACCCTTCAACCATTCTTCATATTGCAGTTCAACATTCATCTCCTTTTCCCATTTAATCCATGGAGAAATTTTTTCTTGAGGGGGTGTAATAGGGTGAAAAAAATTGGAAACCCTAGAGGTAATCTTATGTTTATGGTGTTTATCAAAAATATCAATTACAGGGTTATCGGTTACAATGGTTTTTTGTTTTAACCCCTTAAGGACACATGACGGAAATATTCCGTCATGATTCCCTTTTATTCCTGAAGTTGTGTCCTTAAGTGGTTAATTAAATTTTTTTTAATCTAAGATAACTGAAAACTTCTCAGGACGATAAATCAAAACTCGTCTGGAGCAAATCAAAAGGTAACAAGGACCCCTCTGGTGCTAGATCTTTTAGAGTTTTGATGCTCTTTTCTCTCCAACTTAACAAACTAATGTCACCTATATCTAGTTCAATTCTTTCTAATGGCATATTATGCAAGAGGGAATTTCATAAACCCCGATCTGTAATCTTTAAATTATAAAAGGTTGTGTAAATATCTCTAATTATCGGGTTATGAATAGAAAACATTCTACTTCCTTTCTCCTTAAGGTCTATGTGAAGAAATGCCTTTTGTCCCTGGATTGTTAGGTGACAAGCTGCCCTTTGCCCCCGGCTTTTGGAGGAGCCTGATTGCCAGCCTCCTTCCTCATGACTATGGCCCTGGGGTGTATTGCCATTTAAAAAGATTATTTGGGGCTTATTGGCTTCTAAAGACAGTTTCTTCCCATTGGAATCCATGGGAAGGTGTGTTTCTTCCCTTCCCCGGTTTCCTGTCTATTGTTCTCCAGCAGGGAGTTGTCCCAGGGACACTGCCAGACCAGCATCCGTCGGCGGAAGGTACCCGGTCGGGGTGCCAGCGGTTCCGTTACAGTGGTGGAAGCGGTGGGATGGCATCCTAGTGCGAGGAGAAGCAGCGCAGAGGCACCGGTAACGTTTGGAATTACAATTTGAGGGCAACGCTAGTATTCGTACAGCGCCCCTGGTCACAGCAAACATGACCTATCGCTTTGAGGGTGCCGCTTACAGGGAGGAAGCAAAGAGGCAGTTAACCAGGTATGGCCCGGATCCCTCGTTAGAGACGATCCTGGCAACCATGCGCAAGTTGGATGAGGAGAATCGAGAGGCATGGGAATTTGAGCTCCGATTGCGGAGATTGGGCCTGTGGCCAATTGATCTCTCTCCCCAGCGGCAGACAGCATCCCAGGGAGAGGAGATTGTCGGTCCCTCATCCCTGCAGCAACCATCATCACTGGGAGTCGAGACAGTCGGTCTGACTCCCCAGCGGCAGTGTGTTGACAAGGGAGAAGAGACAACCGGTCTCTCTCCCTAGCGGCAGTGCAAGTTACAGGGAGCCGAAGGTATCGTCCTTCCTCCCCAGCGGCAGTGTGAATTACAGGGAGCCGAAGGTGTCGTCCTTCCTCCCCAGCGGCAGTGTGAATTCCAGGGGGCCGAAGGTGTTGTCCTTCCCCCCCAGCAGCAGTGTGTCCTACTGGGAGCAGAGACAGTTGGTCTCTCTCTCCAGCAGCAGGACAATGTTATGGGAGTGGAGACAGGCGGTCTCCCTCTCCAGCGGCAGACTGTGTTTCAGGGAGAGGAGCACAGCACCCTATCTCCCCAGCGGCAGCTTACCTACCAAGGGGAGACACCAATCTCCCAGATGGCGCAGAGGGGACCGTGGTCTCCGTGCCCGACCTACAGGGATGCTGGACAACCTGTCCAGATCCCCAACTACCCTCACAGGGACAACAGGAGGAGGGGGTAAGTACGAATTCCCCTCCCCAGCTAACTCCTAACTTGGACCCAGGGTTAACAGAGGAGATGTTAACCCCCACCCCCACATGTTCCCCAGGCTACTGAGCCGGACTATGTTCCCAGCACCCCAGCAGAAGAGCTGACAGCTGGGCAGAATGCAGTCGGCCTCTGCCCTCCCTGTGTCCCTTGTCCAGAGCCTGATGTCCTGCAGCCTATACCAGCGGAAGAGCTGGCAGCTGGGCAGAGTGCAGTTGGCCTCTGCCCTCCCTTTGACCCTTGTACAGAGCTTGACATTCTACCGGCTATCCCAGCGCAAGAGCTGACATCAGGGCAGAGCGCCGCTGGCCTCTGCCCCCCAAGTACCACCAGCTATTTGCCCAGCTGCACCAGGAAGGCCGAGGATGCGGCATTTTTATCCTACAATCTGGAACCTACTGGCCAGTACTGTTTATTGTGGGGGGGCTACTTTGCCACTTGTTATTTGTGGGTGGGCTACTCATGTACTTGTTCACTGTGGGTGGGTTTATCGACTAACTCAGGCACTGACCGGCAGGTCAGGTACCTGGTTAGTCTCCCCCCCCAAAGGGGAGATGTGTGACGAAATGCCTTTTGTCCCTGGATTGTTAGGTGACAAGCTGCCCTTTGCCCCCGGCTTTTGGAGGAGCCTGATTGCCAGCCTCCTTCCTCATGACTATGGCCCTGGGGTGTATTGCCATTTAAAAAGACTATTTGGGGCTTATTGGCTTCTAAAGACAGTTTCTTCCCATTGGAATCCATGGGAAGGTGTGTTTCTTCCCCTCCCCGGTTTCCTGTCTATTGTTCTCCAGCAGGGAGTTGTCCCAGGGACACTGCCAGACCAGTGGGAACTGGTTTGGGCAGGAAAAGCCATGCTTCCTTTGGTCACAAAGGACCTCTAACTAACTTTTGAACTAATGGAAGGATTTGCATGATTTTTGGGTATGTTAGTATTTGGGATGTGCTGATTAATAATATGTGACTTTTTATTAATATTGGATGTATGGTTTTAGAGTTATGAAAGTTGGGTAAAAAGTGTGTTTTAAAATGTATGGATAATTGGGTTACCTCTCAGGCTAAGGGGAGGAGATGTGTGGGATGTAACCATTGTGCAATTGGTTGTACTGTGTCCCACCCTGTGGGATGTCCCCTTGCATGGGGACTTGCATAAAAGCCAGTATGTGGTCATTAAAAAGCAGATCATCTTGTACCTTCATGAAGTTTAGGCTCATGTTTGGGGGATTGGAGAAACTACACTCTGGGGATTGCTATAATCACTATACTCCCCAGGGTATAATCATTAAGCTCTGCTAAGAGCTTGTTCCTGTTCCTGCTCTCTGGAATTCGGAGAGGGGTCGACCTGCTGGAAGCTGGACCCTGGTCCTGGGTCCAGAGTGGGTGGAGACGGCGAGACCCCAACCAAGCTGCGGCGGTTCGTGGGGTCTGCAGTGGTTAGGGTGTCAGGCAGAGTTCTTGGAGTCCTCGGAAAGCACTAGGAGCATCCGTCGGCGGAAGGTACCCAGTCGGGGTGCCAGCGGTTCCGTTACAGTCTATACTGGACCAAAGTAGACAGAGAGGTTCACGTTTCCCTAAATCTTGTTTTTTGATCTCCAGCCAAATGGGTCTGGAGGTTGACATATTGTCTTGGGCGGTAGCATGCGCAAACATATTCTTTTTATACAAGCCCCTGCATTTGAAAATCCTTATATAAAGTATCGGAGGAAATTCTAAATTTCTTGTCTTGCCAAATAAATGTATTAATCAGTTGGATGTCCTTAAGTACTAAATTATTAATTTTGAGAGATATGTTTTTAAACAAATATAACATTTTAGGGAGCAAATAGGATTTTACTACTTCCGCTCTTCCTATCCAAGATAGTTCCATTCCTTTCCAATTTGCTAAAGTATTTCTAAGATCGCAAAGTTTAAGATTATAATTTTCTTTTCGTATATGGTCTAAATCCATATATATTTAATCCCCAAATAGACTATATATTTGGAGTGTCAGTCAAATTTAAATCTTGATTTAATGTACTCAATATCCGCAAAAGATACATTATTCCATATTATTTGAGTTTTATTATAGTTTATTTGAAAATTTGAAAAACTGCTATATTCTTCAATCAAATGGATGACATTGGGGATAAAGAATTTCGGATTCGCTAGAGTTAAAAGGACATCGTCCGCATACAAGGAAAGTTTACATTCCAATGTTCCATAGTAATACCCTTAATTTCTTTATCTTGTTTAATCTGGTTAGCTAACAGTTCAATCGTCATGACATACAAGAGAGGAGCGAGAGGACAACCCTGCCTCGTTCCGTTTCTAATTCTGAACCACTGACAACAGCATATATCCCACAATCCTAGCTGTGGGGCAACTGTACAAAAGCATAACACTACTCCTGAATGCACCCACGATGCCGAAAGCTCCCAAGATTTCATCTAAAAAGCGCCAATTCACCCGTCAAACGCTTTTTTAGCATCGAAAGCCATCATGGTCGAACCCCCTCTTGTTGGTTTATATGATATATAATATTTATCACTTTTCTAGTGTTATCATTTGTGCATCTTTCCTTTATAAACCCGCATTGGTCTAAATGAATCAAATCAGGAAGAACTTCTTTCAATCTTTGGGCCAAAATTTTAGAATCGATTTTAAATATCCAGATTAATGAGAGGTATTGGGCGATAGTTGGAAATAGAGGTGGGATCTTTAATAACCTTAGGTATTGGAGTGATTGTTGCTTATAACATTTCAGATGGAATGATATTACTCGTCATAAATTGATGATATGTTCTTAATAATAACGGTGAAAATAAATTTTTACATTTCTGAAAAAACCCGGCGGAGTACCCGTCTGGCCCTGGTGATTTGTTAGTTTTTAGTGATTTAATGCAATTTTTCATGGCCCAAAATTTTTTTTTAAATAAACGAAATAGGTTTATTTAAAAAGTCTAATTTGGCAGGCAAAATTTTAGGAAGTTTAAGATTATTAAGAAATTTAGATATTTCAACCTTAGAAAATCCATGATCTTCTAGATTGTATAAAGATCTATAATAGTCCCCAAAGGCCTGACTGATCTGTCTGGGGGTTAGGAGTTGTTTTCCCTTAACTACAATTTTTTTTATTATATCAGCACTTATTCTTTAACTTACTTGTTAACATTTTGCTAAATCGATTGGCAGCATGGTACCATTTTTGTCTTAAAATAAAAATGGCTTTATTGATTTTTAAAAGTGCCTGCCTGCTCTGTGATTTCCTTTCTCACTCTATTGATCTCTGACAAGGTGGAGGGATCCAAGGAGGCCTTATGGCCTCTTTCTAATTTTGCTAAATTAATATATAAAATGCTCAGTCATTCTCAGTTTTTTTTGTTTGAGTGCCTATTTTTGAGTATACCTCTTATATAACACTTCAAAGTACACCACAAGGTCATATGCGAAACATCGCCCCTGTCATTTTGATCTAAAAAAAATCTTGAATGTGGGATGAAAGAGGCATAATGTTTTCGCTCTTACATAACAGACTCATTAAGCCCCCAGTTATTCCTGACCTTATATTCCACGTTATTCTTGAGAGAAACAAAAATAGGGGCGTGGTCAGACCACGTTATTGAGCCTATTTTAGTATTTGTTACATAGTTCAATAAATTAGATCTAAAGTAATCTATGGAGGAAATATTTGATGCATTTGAGAAAAAAAAAAGGTATAATCTCGCCCCATTGGATTATTCACTCTCCAGCTGTCATATAGTTGGTTACTATGTAAAACAAATTTGCATTACTTTAGTTAACTTTAAGGTCTGGGAGTCAATCTTAATTTTAGGATTATTTCCATCATATTTATGGTCTATTATGCAGTTAAAATTACCCCCTGTTATTAATCTGCCTGCTTCCAGTTTGTCTATTCGGTTCATAAATTTGTTTAAAAATCTCATAGGGAATTGATTTGGAGCGTACAAATTGACAATTGTATATAAAATGTCATTAATTTTTGCAATTAAAATTAGATAATGCCCATTCTCATCCCTTTCCAATAATATTTCCTGAAATTTCACTTTTTTAAAAAAGGATAATGGTCTTTTTTCTTTTGGGTCTTCATATTTGGGGGTATTTAGAGAACCTCCACAGCCCAGAAGCCTTCTCTTGCCAATTTTTTTTTTGAACCAGAGCTATATCTACATTATTTTCTTGCAAAAATTCACATAGATGACCACTGAGGTGAATTCAGGGAGACTAAATTAATAGACATAACGTTTACTGACTGTTACACATTTAAGTACATCAACTCTATCCACCCCCCACCCCAGGACCTTCTCCAAACATACCACAAACCACACATTCAACTTGACCTTACACCTGCATATCCACGAGGGATAAGGTCCGTACCTCCCAACCAAAGCATGAGTAACTCAAATACATTTTGAGTTCGTGCTTAGAACTGCAGCTGCCGCAGGACAAAAGAAAGCCCAGCAAGAGGGGAGGCCACATGATAGTTCTCTATTAATATTTAAAGGCTAAAGAAGATCAACATCTGCACAAAGGCACAAATTAACATGAAGGGAGAGGGGAGAAAGAAGGAGGAACAAACCTCCTAAAGTGTTTAGACCTCTTTCCCTTCCCATTTCAAGCCCCCATCCCTCCAACACCCCAAAAAGTCCCAATCCCTGCCCTTCCCCTTGTAAACTTATACCATAATTAGAATGACTAAATATTTCTATATAAATATCTATTTAATTTTTGCCTTCTGTATGAGAACTATGCTGTTATTCTTATAAATTGTTCAAACCCCGTATAAACGCCCAACCATTCCCTCCCATTTCTCACCCTGTCATGTTTGTGAGAATACCAAAAGTGTTTACCCCTTTCATATTTAGAATCATCATTATTGCTTCATACTTAGAATTTCATAAATGTGACTATCTTCATTATTTCCCGATATTATATCGTGCTTTGTGATTAATTATTACTTCACTTTCTATGTGAAAAATGAGAAATGTTACATCAACATATTTAGTCATAATTCAAACCCACTCCCAATAACCTAAGTGGAGGGAGAGGGGAGGAGAAGGAAGAAACAGCAAACTCCTATCCAAGGTATGTTCGTCGTTTCCCCATCCTCCTCCCCCGTCTCCCCAATCCCAAATCACATCTCTTCTTTCTGTGGACGACGTGTACCAAAATCTAGGTGAACTCTCAGCAACTTATACCAATAAGTTAGATAGCCAGTGCTATTATGCTTTTTGTGAAAAAAAAATAAAAATAAAATTTTCATTCAAAAACTACAAGGAGCACATCTTCCGAGACTTTTTAGAAACCCCATAGTGAAAACTTCTTTTTGGGTTCCTGAGGATCTTTAAAGAGGTAAGAAACATCCTGGAATGCAACCACTAGAGCCGAAGGAAATATCACTCTATATTTAATATTTTTGCGTTTGCGCAGAAAAGGTTCTATTTTCACGCGATGCATTTGAAATGTCAGCAAATAATTTGATGTTTTTATGTTCTCCAGTTTCAACTGTTTTGTTCCTTGACGCTTGCATTATTTCTTTGAGGTAATAATTAGTGAATCTAACAATAACGTCCCTGGGTAAAAATGCGTCAATGCCTTTGGGTTTCGGTACTCTATGAGCTTATTCAAAAGGATATCTCTTGAGAAATTTAATAAGTTGGTTTTGTTGTACCACTTCTGGTATCACTCTGAGGCGAATGTTCTTGCGCCTTGCCCTGTCTTCCAAATCAATTATTTTTTTCCTCCAGACTTTTTATTTTAGATTCCATTTTTAAATATTTTTAAACAAGAGATTAAAAATAATAAAAGGGCATTTAAAGCAATAAAATCAGACAAATCAGAAGCATCCTATAGAAGATATAAGGAAGCCAATAATGTGTGCAAAACGGCGATTAGATTCGATAAACTTCAACATGAAAAAATGATAGCCAAAGAGAGAAAAACCAACCCCAAAGCATTTTTTTTAAGTACATAAATTCTCAAAAAAACAAAAAAGTGTAGGTATACTAAAAAAGTGGGATGGAGGTGATAGTTAATGAAGACCAGGAAAAGGCAGAAATTTTAAATAACTATTTCTCCTCCGTATAAATTAAGGAAAAACCCATGGCAATAGATGTGCAAATGATTGCTGCTAAAAACTTGCAGAAAAATTGTAATTGGTTAACTCAAGACAAGGTGCTGCTGCAACTAAAGAAAGTTAATATAAACAAAGATCCAGGGCCTGACGGTATTCATCCACGAGTACTTAAGGAACTAAGTGTAGAAATAAGTGTTTCTAATTTTTCAAGATTCTTTTCTTTCAGGAAGTGTTCCAGAGGATTGGAGCAAGGCAGATGTAGTTCCTATATTCAAAAAGGGTTCAAAATTCTTGCCTGGAAATTATAGACCTGTGAGCTTAATTTATGTGGCTGGAAAAGTATTTGAAAGATTAAGGGATAATAATAATTCCTTGAGAAGAACATGGTTATCAGCAAAAATCAGCATGGTTTTATGAAGCACAGGTCATGTCAAACTAACTTGATTGAATTTTACGAATAAGTAAGTAGAAGTATAGATCAGGGTGTTGGAGTGGATGTGATCGATTTGGATTTTGCCAAGGCATTTGATACAGTTCCACACAGTAGATTAGTATTAAAACTCAAAGAAATCGGTTTAGATTAAATTTCTTGTTCTTGGGTAGAACATTGGCTTAAAAATAGAGTACAAAGAGTTGTCATTAATGGTAAATTTTCAAGCTGGACAGAGGTGGCAAGTGGTGTCCCTCAGTGTTCTGTTCTGGGACCCCTTCTATTTAACATGTTCTTGAAAAAAGCATTGAAAGTCATGATTCAGTGTTTGCAGATGACACAAAACTCTAAAGTAATACAATGTGAGCAAGATATTACTTTGCTGCAGAGGGATTTAGAAAGACTGGGGGACTGGGCAGATGGAATTTAATGTTGAAAAATACAAAGCTATGCACTTCGGCGTAAAGAATGCACAAGCAACGTATACCCTCAATGGAAGCGAATTAGGGATAACAACACACAAAAAGCACTTGGGAACAAACAATGCAACCATGTGCAATGTCAATCAGCAGTGGCTAAGGCCAGTAAGTTATTGTCATGCATGAAAAAGGGCATTCATTCTCGGGATGAGAATATCATTTTGCCTCTTTATAAATCACTGGTAAGACCCCATATTGAATATGCTGTGCAATTTTGGGCACCTGTTCTAAAGAAGGATATTATGTCACTAGAAAAAGTGCAGAGGCGGGCTACAAAATTAATAAAAGGAATGGAACATATCAGCTATGAAGAAAGGTTAACAAATTTAAACCTCTTTAGTTTAGAAAAACGGCGCCTCAGAGAGTATATGATAACATTATACAAATATATCCGGGGCCAATACAAACCATTGTGTGGAAATCTATTCACAAACCAGACTTTACATAGGACACGAGGTCAAGCGTTTAGACTTGAAGAAAGAAGATTTCATCTAAGGCAAAGAAATAGTTTTTTTACTGTAAGAACAATAAGGATGTGGAATTCTTTGCCTGAAGAAGTGGTTTTATCAGAGTCCGTACAGATGTTCAAACAGCAACTATATGCTGACTTGCAAAAAACAGAATATTCAAAGATAAAATTGGTAATGTAGGGTAATAGCTTCTTGATGCAAGGGTTAATCTGACTGGCATTCTGGCGTCAAAAAGGAATTTTTTATTCCTAGTTTGTTGCAAAATTGGAAGTGCTTCAGACTGGGTTTCTTTTTGCCTTTTTTTGGATCAACAGCAAAAACAAATGTGAGGAAGGCTGAACTTGATGGATGCAAGTGTCTTTTCAGCTATGTAACTATGTAAGTACTATGTAAATAAGAGATTTGAAGTAGCTTATTTTCCTCTTGAATTGAGGATAAAGCTTTTGCTTGGAAGTGATTTCAGATCTCAATTCTCCCAAGTTAAGTTCAATATCTTTCTTAATTTTGATTTATAATTTATCTAGAAGTGCTGTTAATAGCGGTTGAGTGATCTCTTGAGATTTAGGGCCTTCGGCAATTGAATCTGTCGCTTCAGAGGATCTGTGTTTGTCTGTTCCCTTAGTATCTAATGGGAGAGACTTTCTCTGTTTGTCTTTGTAGCTCTCATTTAATTTCGGGGAGTAAAAAGTGCTTATAGGTCGATTTTTTTCTTTGTCTTTTTCAAATGGAGGGAATTTTTCCTTTTTCAGGTTTTATCTTTATCTTTCTGTTTAGGTGCCATTTTGCTTTTCTCTTCCACTCACTCCCATACAGCTGTGAGATCAGTGTGGGATCACAGCACACAAAAACAGATTTCCTATTTTGTTCCCACTCTCCACCTGAACACAGTAGTTTAATTCCATATAATCACAATCACAGTGTTACATCAATATCAAAAGATTTAAAACGTGTGTGAGCAAAAGTAAAGGGGTTCAAGGAACATACATATCTCAATTTCCAAGTGACCTTCAAATACTTTTTTCTTAATGGGAACGGACCAGCATGATTCTGCAGAACTCTCCTTACCCCTCGTGTAAGCCCCTGCTTATGTTATTGATGCTGCTTCTCCGTGGTCCTCCAAGAGCAGAGCGCCGACACGCAAACACAGGACGAAGAGAAACATTTTTAAAAAGGGCAAATGAACACAGACTCCCAACAGCTACTGCTTGTATCTTCTGAGAGTTCTACCTCCATCTCTTCAAATTTTCGCCGCAAACCTAAGCTTCTCGCTGGAACTCACAATCAGCGTGTAGCACCCCCTCACCCTACTGGCCCGCCATATCAAGCAAGCGAACGTGCGTGCACGCGTCACATCGTTCTTTCATACCTCCCAACATTTCAAATGGACAAAGAGGGACATTTTAAATTTAGGGGTGAGACTGAGGTGGTGGACAGGGAGTCACCTAATATTTTCTCTGAAAAGGCAGTGTTTACATAGAAATGCCTGCAGGGACTGACTATTACTCAACAGAACAACTACATTAAGCTGTAGTTGTTCTGGTGACTATAGTGTCCCTTTGAAGCAAAAATAGTTTCTGCCATCAATCAGATGACCAAACGGACACATTACCACATGCTGTTGCAGGTCCAGCCAACACACAGACAAACTCAACATATTTCTGGGTAGTGCTATGTATAAACAGACAAATATATATATTTCTTTATATATACATATGGTGTTAATTTTACATTGCCTGCTGATTGGTGATTGAGGAATGAAATACACATCTATACATAAATTTCAGACATTTAATTGCATATTCTATAACACGGCTATAACTTCCATTGGCATGTTACGTCACATTACAATGTGACATGTTGCTGCTCGCCATGATCACTGTATTTTTATATATATATATATATATATATATATAAAATTAATTATTCATACACCATAACTGCATGTCCTAGTACTAAACATTATTACATGCAGGGTGGTATCATTGATTGCCCAGATATTTATAGGAATACAAATTTCTTTGACAGTTCTACAACCCTCTCTACAAACCTTGTAAACACACATTCATTTACAATCCATTTATCCAGTTGGTCAATCCCAATAGAAGACAGTGATGTCAATGTAGTGCTGAGATTACCTTATTGTATTGATTTCCCTGTTAAAATATGACCTTTAGCCAATGAAGAAAGCAAAGAAAAAGGAGAAAAGAAGCGAAAAGAAAAGAAAGAGACTAAACATTAAACATATAACTCTGACCCTGTAACAACACTTTAAAATGTATTCAAAGTACAATTTAAATTATTTTTTTTAAATCATATTTGCATTAGTAAACTTTGCTTTTTAGATAAAAAGGGGTGCAGAGCCCTGTCCCTGTCTACATTTCAATCTAAATCAGTGATGGATATTGGCACTGCAGACAATGAACACATTTCTCAGAATGTAAATTGGCTGGCTGAGAATAATCACAACAATAGTCTGCAAAAATGTGCTATGCTCTCAACGATTTAGAAAACTGCCCCTCAAATATGTATCTTCTCAAGATACGGACATATTTTTGTAATGTATTCTTTATTGAGTTTTCAATTTCTATAGCGGTGCAATAAGGAAAGCAAAAGAGATTACGAAGAGACATCACAAACTAGCTCCGGGGTAGAATGGAAAGGGCTAACATTTTTCTTAATAAAATCCAACTGGGGATGAACTAGCACCGTTCTGCTCACCACAAAGATGAGATCAGTCACTGAAGGGAGAGAGGAAATTAGAAATAGAAAAAGATAGTAGGGAGCAGTAGGGAGTAAAGAAAGAGGAAAGGAAAGGAAGAGCGTGAGAGGAAGAGAAAAAAAAATAGGGGGAAGTTGGAGGGTTAAGACCCATGTCTCACCCCATGAGGGAAAAAACAGAAATGCTAGCACTATTTCTTAATCCATTAACAATAACCTGGTGGGTCAAAATGTCAGAATGTTGGGTGGTGTCCAAGGGGAAGAAAATGTATCTAGCCAGGATGACCAGTCTTTCAAGATATTGAATCCACTGTTTTGCCAATAAAAGTGTTATTATTTCCATTAAAAGATTCCCTGTGATAATATTTAAAGAGGTATTTTAAGCACCAAATGAATGTTAGCTTAAAGGGACACTCTAAATACCTGTACCACTACAGCTTAATGTAGTGTCTTGAACCTAACCCTGCAGGCTGAGTAGCGTAAATAAATACAAAGAAACAAGTCCTGCGCTCAAACTCCCTTTACTCCTGGGCGGCAGCAACAACCATAGTACACATCAGCCCAAATACACATAGTTAAAACCAAAGGAAAAACGTTACCTGCACTCTTTCCACATCCCTATGTATTTTTAAACAAATTGAGGTTTTTAGTTACCTCCAATGGCCATGAGAGGGTATGCCCACCTGCCACGTCAAGGCAGACCTCTTAGGTGGGTCCTAACTCTAACCATCAGCCTTGCTTCCTTGAGCTTCTGGCAAAGATATCTCTAATGAGACAGAAAGGGGTATATTTTATATGCATCCCTACATACCTATTAACCCTTAATAGGGAACACATGGGATGGGCAGCAGCATTGTAACTAAGCTGTGTGATACAAAAGTGAATACAAATACAAAAGGTCTGCCTTGACGTGGCAGGTATTTAAAAATACATAGGGATGTGGAAAGAGCGCAGGTAACTTTTTTACTTTGGTTTTTACTAAAAACTGTTTTACTGTTGCATATTCTGAGAAATGTGAGTGTTTACACTGCTGCCTAAAGCCATCCTTAGTAGCTGTCACTCGGATGGCCACTGGAGGGACTTCCTGGGTTCAGACTTGCATCTCCACACTCTGCGTGGAGATGAATGCTCCCCATGGAGAAGTATTGACTCAAGGTATCTCAATGGGCAGATGATCTACCCCTTACTCTATGGTGAAGCATTGGATTGGCTGAGATCATCAGGATTAATGTTCTCAGCTGAGACAGCAAAGCAGCCATATTGAGACTAGTGAACCAAGGAGTAAAGGTAGGCAAAATGTGTTTTTTTATTTCATTTGAGGGAAGGGTGGTCATCTAACTAGTTACTAGAATACCATAGAGTTAGGAATAAATGTTTATATTCCCAACGTTCAAGTGTTCCTTAAATAAAGTAGTTTTGGTGTATATCTCATGCCTCGGCAGTGTCAAAGTTCAACCATCTGCTATTTAAAAACATTTGTTTCTGTTTATGCCACACCTCCCCTTGTTGTGACTCACACAGCCTACGTGAAACATGTATTTCATTTTCCAATGTGGTCGTTTTTGATTTTATTTTCTTAATTTAAAGCATTTCTTTCACTGAAATATGTTAAAGGGATATCGATGATAAATGAATGATTATAGCCTTACAACTTGTTTTCTTCTTTCCCCGCTGTTTCTTTTGTACACCTACTTTCCTAATCTTTATGACAGGATTTCACAAAGTCTAACAGGGCTATTCACCAAAGTAAGATTTCAAAGTGGATAGAAAATGTAAGGCCAAAATAGACAACTATGCGTCCAATTCAGTTACTCTGGTCTTACATTTAAAGTTCACTTTAAGATCTCAGTTTAGTAAATAACCTGGATACTCTAATAAAAGGCACTTGCTTCTTGAATACCATATGCCTGATTATTTCCTGATCTGGAGACAATGTGATAAGTATGGTCACTATGATCAGTAGCTACAAGTTTGCCCTGGGTTCATGAGGAGAAACACACAGCTTTATTGTCTATATATTTCCCCTTTACAAAGAGACAGTGGGATGGAGCGAAAATGGCTTCCCTATAAGGATTTTGGATGGTACCAGGTTCACTTTCAAGAGAAAATACTTACACATGTTTAAAGTCAATTAACAAAATGTTACCAATTATGATGGACATTCCCTTGATCCTTATTGTAGTAACAAACATTTTAGAAAAGTCAGAACATTAGTTGAAGAAAAAAAAATAAAAATAAAAATGAAACCATGGGGAGCACAAGGAAACAACATGCCAAATTTCATCTTACAGGGCGTTTATTACTGTAAGTTTCTACAATACATATCTTTGTCCTTGGAAACAAATTGCTAAGATAAAAATGCACCATGTTGACTGGCAAAATAGACTCAAAACACCACCATGTGTTCACTATAGAGTGGTGCAACAATGTAATGCAAATAAAAACCTCTTAGAGGAGAAAACATGAAGGTAGACTTATGCAAGTGCTGGGATTTTGTTGTATTCAGTGAAAGAGTTAAAGTTAAGTAAAGTTTAAAAGAAATTAAAAACAAGATAAATAATCACATGGACCAAAGGTTTCAAAGCAAAAAAAAAAAAAAGAAAAAAAAGAAAAAATTCTAACAAAAGTATGAATATATGCTTATTGTCAATGTAAACTGTACAAGTGTGACTTGGTGGTCTTCTGTTTTGTAAAGACCCATTCAGATAATATGTCTGCTGGAACCTGCTATTAGAAAATGGATTGAATGGGAACGTCAATTTGTTCCACTATTAGTGCCTTCCTCCGGCATGTTCGCTTCAGCAGTAAATTTTTAGTCTTGCTCATGGGTTAAAGGGTAAACTACCGGCTTATAGAAGATCCAGATGGACCATAGGATCCTGCTAAGATCTTCTACCACATGTACGGTGAGATGCCACAGACATCTACTTATATAAAAAGATACGTTTTCCAATCAGCTATCATTCACAACATATGGGGGGGGGGGTGCGGGGGGTGATTGCAGGTAACTCTACAAAGCTGGAAATAATTAATTTAATATGTTGCTTTTGACTTTTTCCAGAGATGGATGCAACATAAACTTACCATGTACATATATCTGGAATTTAAATCCTAATGATATGTGGCATAACATATCACATGCATTTATTAATTTCAATAATAATCCATACCAGTAAGGTATCAGTGAGGGTACATTTAGCTATTGCTAGTCTCAGTAATGAGGCTCTGTGCATGCAGTAAGATGGTACATGTGAGTTACATTTGAGTGATGATACTCTATAGGTGCACTCAATACGTGTGCAACAGGCAGATTATACAATCTATGTATCTAAAGTAACTAACCAATTTTGTTAAAGGGACAGTCTGGATAGGACTTGATGCATTTTTTTTTTTTAATAATGTGTTCTATAGAAAGTGCATACAATACACACAATAATAAGTTAAAAACAATTTAAAAAAAATACTTAATTTGAATTTTCTGCACAGTCATTGGCTGAGCAGAATCTCATTTGAGTTCTCACCCCAAATCCAGAAGTGAATGAAGCTCACTCATGCATTATAAAATAAACACTTTTTTTTTTTTAATTTAAAAATAAAAGACACCCACCATAATTAGCTGTATCACACAAACTGCAACGAGCCCAGGTGTATAGTCAAATGACAATTGAAATATGCATCATTGATACTTCACTCACCTCACTCAACACTTTATCTATGACAGCGACTGTCTCAGGGGTAACTCTCCAAGGGTCTCTCTCTCCCACCATCATGGCATCCAGCGTCCCCTTCTCAATGATAAAATCAAAACTTGCATCAGGAAACTCCAGCTGTCGAGCATCCATCACCAGCCATGTCATGTCAGGTATGCCAGCATGCTTCTGCTCCATCTCCTTGATGCAAACAGGAGAGTAATCAATGCTAACGATTGGGTCCACTCCATCTCTGTGCAGATCCACACTTAGAGAGCTAGTGCCACAACCTGCAATCACAGACACAGCAATGAATGACATCCATCACCTCCACATTCAGAAAGTCTTATAGATTTGCCAGTGTGAAATAAGGAGAGCTGTATGCAATGTTTTTTTCCATATAACTCTACATTTTGTGTGGATAATTACACAGTAATTACATGGAGAGGTTGCTGACTTCTCTGATCGTACCAGTCTGTGCCATAAGATGCAGCTTATTTAATGTGTGTACATCACAAGACTCGTCCATGTCTTAGGAAACAATTCCAACTCAAATACTTTCGGTGCCCCTTCAGTTAGACTGTCAGTAACTGCTCTTACATACATAACAAGAATAGGAGTATCTGTTTAAGGCAAGTAAGCCTTTTTTGGAAATCAGAAAAAAAGTACTTGGAAACCAGGAAGTGGATAACACTGTGCTGTGAAGTACAAATGCACAAATCCCTTTAACCCCTTAAAGGACCACTATAGGCACCCAGACCACTTCAGCTTAATGAAGTGGTCTGGGTGCCAGGTCCAGATAGGATTAACCCTTTTTTCTGTAAACATAGCAGTTTCAGAGAAACTGCTATGTTTACCTATGGGAATCCTGCCTCTAGTGGCTGTCTCACTGACAGCCGCTAGAGGCGCTTCCGCATTTCTCACTGTGATTTTCACAGTGAGAAGACGCCAGCGTCCATAGGAAAGCATTGAGAATGCTTTCCTATGGAATGGCTGAATGCGCGCGTGGCACTTGCCCCGTCCAAGGCTGGAGAAAGAGGTAAGTTTAACCCCTTCCTCACCGTAGAGCCCGGGGGGAAGGGGACCCTGAGGGTGGGGGCACACTCAGGGCACTATAGTGCCAGGAAAACAAGTGTGTTTTCCTGGCACTATAGTGGTCCTTTAAGGACCAAACTTCTGGAATAAAAGGGAATCATGACATGTCACACATGTCATGTGTCCTTAAGGGGTTAAAGGTCAAAGGAAAAAACTGAAAGTGGGGTAAAGAAACAAATCTCATTTGGGACTGAGGACACCAATCAAGGAACTCCAAATCCTCATAAAGTGCTGCAAAGAAAAAACAGAAAAATTATGCCAGGAAAAGCAAGCGGCTCTAAATCCAATAGGAAAGGTTTATTCCACAAAGTACATAAACATACATGGGAAAACACAAGCCAAAAATAAAATCTTACATGTTTCAGACCACCCAGTCCTTAGACATAGAAGTAATTCACAGATACAAACTGCACCCTTAAATGTCCCTTAGGGCGAGTTTAAAAACACCTCCACCCTCTATAATCGTAACGGTAAAGAAATACATTTGGCAGTCACAAACATCCTCGGCTTAGCTCAGCTAACTAGCTAGTGGGTCTGACCAACAGTAATAATTTGCAATGTAATTAATTAGATAAAATTAGATACAAATACTGTTGTTTTCCCTCTGCCCATTGGAGTGGTCTGGGTGCCAACTCCCATCACCCTTAACCCTGCAAGTGTAATTATTGCTATTTTTATAAACTGCAATATTTACCTTGCAGGGTTAAGTCCTCCTCTAGCAGCTATCAGACAGCCACTAGAGGGACTTCCGGCTTCTTAGAACATGAAAAGTGTTTTAAATGACGCTGGACATCCTCACATTCTGCATTAGGACCTCTAGCATTGCCGGAATCTCCTTAGGAAAGCACTTAATAATGCTTTCCTATGGGGAGGTCTAATGCGCGCACGGCAATTGCCGCGCATGCGCATTAGGTCTCTGCTGCCGGCTGATGTTGGGGGTGAGGAGCGTGGGCGGAGCCTGACCCAGCGCCGAGGGTCATCGGCGCTGGATTCAGGTAAGTCACTGAAAGGGTTTTAACCCCTTCAGCAACATGGTATGGGGAGTGGCAGGGAGGAGAACATTGCAGGATCCTGCAGTGCCAGGAAAACGCACTTGATAGCCGTATAGCAATCCTGCTATGTGTGTGTAGGGGTTTCTGGGTTACCCCTCAATAGGGCCTATGCCCTGGGAGTAAACTTGTACGTTTACAGCGGTGTGTATAAGAGGGAGAACATTAAAACAAAACAAAAAGCAAAACAAGAGTAACTCAAAAGTCCCGGTTCAGGTAGTCTGCTCTCCAAGCGTTCCCCTGGATGCTGGAACAAATGGGACAACTTTAGTCGGATCCCAGGTTGTAGCGGTTGAAGATGGCCGTAGTCCCATGTCGGTCAAGACAGTGTCCATTTCTGCGACGTCCGTCGCTTTATATTCCTTGCCTTGGTGTTGGATGAGGAGTATGTGTGATGGTCCCCAGCGATACTTCACTCCCTTAGCCGTCAATGCCGCTGTAAGTGGTCGGAGAGATTTCCGCCATTGCAGTGTTGTGCGTGAGAGGTCGGAATAGAACGTTAAGTCCATGTCCTCAAAGCGGTATGGATTTTGTCCCCTGATGGAGCCCATTAAGGCAGTTTTGTCTTGCCCATTTTGAAATTTGACCAGAAGGTCACTTGTCGCTGAATTTGCAAGTTGTGTCGGCTTGGGCAAGCGGAACATGCCATCTAGCTGCACCCCTTTAGCTTGTTTGGGGGACAGGAGGGCTGTGAAAAGCCTTCTGAGTAGGTGGGGAAGTTCGGCTGGGGCAATTGCGTCTGAGAGGCCTCTGATTTTAACATGCTTCCACCTCCTTTTGTCTTCCATTGCTGCTAGTTGGTGGGTGAGTGTGATGTGGGCTGAGGAGAGGTCTTTGACCTGATTCTGCAGCTCTGTTTTTTGTGCTGTTTGTGCCTGGGTGGATTGCTCCACTGCTGAGAGGCGATCAGTGAACCCCTTTACATCCTCCCTTACCTGGGAGATCTCTGCAGAGAGCGACTGGCGTAGGTCAGTCAGGAGAGAGGTAAGAATCTCCGTAGTGATTGGGGAGCCCATCGGCTGTTGTTTGAGTTTAGGAGGTCCCTTGTACCCCAGTGTCTCAGGGCAGTGGAGGGATGTGTCGTCCGAGCTTTCTGAGAAATCCTCATATTCGGCCGCCATGTTGGGCGCCGCCGCGCCATGCAGCCTCCTCAGTAAATCGCCGATATCGGCCGTAAATCGCGGGCGATCGGGCCGCGGCTTTTTGGTCTTTCTCCCCATATCAGGGGGAGTAGTTGCAGGCCGTCTGTTACCAGAAGGGAAGGCTTTTGGGGTCTTTTTCGTCCGGTTTTGGGCTGCGGTCGGCAGAGAGCAGGAGAAGTGCGACCGTTCATGCCGAGAGCTGGCTCCGCCCCGGTTTTGTTTTTTTTAAAGAAAATCTGTGCAATTAAAAAAAATAAAAACAACTATATCTACTAGCCCGCCCTTATTAATTACCAACAAAAAGCATTCCATAATCAAAGTACATTGATGCTTTGCTCAATGATCCAACGGCATTATATCTTTAGCAGCAGCCAGAGGACCAGGTTCCAATTCCACAGTGGCCTTACATTTAAGGTTTTTGTGATTTGCTTGGATCTAAGGTCAGAAACTTTATAGCTATCCTTACAGAGATCTGACATCAAAGAGAAAACCTTTTCCAAATGGAGCAATGGAACAGTGGAACAATGTTGCCTTCTTTTTTACATTTTTAGGTTAGTTTCAGCAAATGTACTACAGGCTCATCTATCTTAAATGGACAATCGAAGCACTAAAAACACTTTGCTTAATAAAGTGGTTTTGGTGCACGGATCATGACCCTGTAGTCTCACAAGGTTATTCAATAAAGTGAGAATTCACATTGAATTCAAAGTGAATTTCTAATTTAAAGGTCACAATAGCTTAACTGGAAATCATCTCTAAGTCAGATACGCTTTCAGTTCAGCTACTGTGGCCTTAAATTTGTAATTCTCTTTGAATTCTCACGTTAGTATATGACCATTTTATTGTTCAGTTCTCACCATTTATAGGTGAAAATTACTTTATTTCTGCAGTCCAAGCCACACCTCCCCCAGCTGCGACTCTCAAAGTCAGATTCTGAAAAATAAAGTTTCATTTTGAGATCTTACTTTCAGCATAGCTCGAATAGTTGGGATCTGCTGGAGGAGATGGGGCAGGCGAGTCCTTATTACCCTATTTAGAGTTATGAAGGATTCACAGATATATGTTAATTACATGTTAACAGCTGCAAAAACCTTGTCTCTTGCCTGCTAGCAGCCCGCTGTGTGAGATAAATCTCACAAGACTTGATAATTCATCAAAGCCTGCAAACATGTACAAAGGAAGAAAGAACCATTATACCATATGGTTGCTGTATTTCTCCCCCCCACCCCCCCCATACAATTTGTAAAATATCTACAAATTATTTTATTTTTTTACAGCTATTTTTTCCCTTCTATATCACATATATTTTTACAGCTTTTAAATGTATGTGGTGTCCATTCACTAAACTGTTATGAGTGTTTATGATATATTATGCTCCTTGTGTCCGCACAGTTTCTCTGTAAGAGGCAATTATTGGTCATTGTCCAGCACCAACAAGGAACTAAGGTCTCTACAAAAATGTGGTGTATCAGCTCTGCTACAAAAAGCAAGATTTGCAGCAAAGAAGAGCTGCACATTTTACACGTGTGAGAGGATTTTTTTTTTTTTTTTTCTGAATACTAGTAAATATATTTAATCTTAGAAGGTTACTTTAAAGGATGTTGCCCTAAACTGTGTTTTGTTTTGACTTTTTCTCCATTATGTTCTTACTAATTACTAATTCACGTACATGATATCATATCTAAAATATTCTGTTTGAAACCACTCATCACATAAAATCACAGGCATGGTTTACACACAGGAACAGCTTGCCTAAGCTATTTTGATGTCTGTTCTAAAATTTGCATGGTAGACTCAGGGTTTAAAAGTAAACTGCAGAACCCCATAGGTAGGCACTTCCTTGTAACAACGGTACATACAGCCTCATTGGCATGGCAATCTGCGTGCCCCACTGTTCTCAACATGGAAATTAAGAGGAATATTTTAAAAAGGAATGTCTTACAAAATTCATTTTTTTAATGCAGTAGAACAATATAGTGCTGGGGGAAATCCAAACAGAGTTCTTCAGTTGCTCCAGATTAAGCAGATTGCCACCTTTAAAAACTCCCTCTATCTCCACTGAGATCATCATACTTGATCATCTCCATCCTTTCTCATAGAAAATCAAAATACAACATGAAAAAAAAGCCAGATTATAAAACTGTTTTTCATTGTTGAGGCATTCATCTTGTATTTTGTGCAGTAAATAATTAGTTTACCTTCCAGTATTTCAGGAAAGAAGAATTGTTCTAGATCAAGTAACACAAAAAAAGTAATCAAGGCAAGTTGTAGTTTATTAATTTAAAAAAACAAACACTTTATTAGATGCAAAAAGGTCCAACAAAAAATACAGGCAGTTAATATCTTAATGTAAGTAGGAGTGCTTTTCCAATGATAGTACACAGCTGTCATTATATAACTGACGCACTTGCAGAATTACTGCTTATTATGGATGTGACCATTGAGGGTAATATTTAGATTTGCTTGCAAGGCAAGGAATAATATTGAACATCCAGATGACTACTGTCATTTTTCTGTCCGTACTGATTAATTTACCTCAAAAATTATACTCAAAAATGTGTCAAAAGACTAACACTAAATTAAGAACAAATGTAGTCCAGGCACTCAGGACCATTTTTGCAGCAGTTTTATTAGAAAAACACACAACGTTTCGGTCTTAGATAGATAGATCTTTTTCAAGCTAAATTGCGTGCGGACTCCTCTTTTTGTTTGTTCGTTGACCCAGATAAGAGTGTGGACTCCTCTTTTTGTTTGTTCATTAAGACTAAATGAAGAACATACCAAATACAGAAGCATTGAACATGGGTGAAAAGCCTGTTCCCATCACTGAGGTAACACGTGGAGACCATCAGGCACCATCACTGTCACCTATACTGCATAGGGTCTGTATTAAAAGCTCTTAAAACCCACTGAAGGATAATAAGCCACACACCATCCAATATTCTAACGATAGCTTACATTGAAACAACTAACGAGTCACAGAAAAATGCAGCTACCATCACATCCACAAATGGAGGACAGCAAACCTAAAAACGGACATGATGGTCAAGAAAACACAACAACCCATTTAAATCAACACACTAAATGCAGAAGAACCAGAGCCAGCATCAGGTAAACCCTCGAACACCCAACTTCGCACATCAACTACCAAACAGGAAAACCCTATGAGTAACATTTTACTTCAAACTCTCACTTTAAGGAAAAATGTCAATGTTTCATTATTATTGAAACTAAATTAATAACATTTTAAGCAGGTTTTGCCAATTCTCACATTTGTCACTAACAGTGTGGCTCTCTGGCATTTGATGAAAAAATATGTCGATATAATCCATACTAATTCCCATAACTAACCTGGAGAGCAGTGATACTCAAAACAGACGAGAGAGGGATACAAGGGGAAAGCCCTGGTTTTTAACTCACCACTCCCAAACTTTGTGACATGGAAACAATATAAAAATAAAAAAAACCTGAGCGGGTGCTAATATAGTATAAACACTACAGACTGAGCTTTAGTTGTTTTCGTGCTTAGACTGCCTCTTTACAAATTGTCTCCTAATCAAATGGATCTCCACTGGGAAAATCAATGCTGCTACAGTACACAATAGCTATGGGACGTTTGCTGATTATCTTAGAGAAATACATTGTCATTGCAGCACATACTAAAATGCATTATATGTGTCGTTATAAAGTCCCTGTGTGAATTAATACCCAGTACTAGTGTACAATGTAGTGTAATAAGTCAATGTGCATTTATACCCAGTACTAGTCCACGTGTCCCCGGTTTAATGTGCCGTCTGACAAGGTCCCGGAAATCCCGGTAACTCCCAAACCAGTCATATTTCTCCGTCTGATCGTGCTCCTCCTTGTAACGAGAGTCCCAATAGTCTCGCTCCCGGTACATCATGACCATGTGCTACTTACAGTCAGTGCAACAGCCACAACCGGCCGGCCGGAAACACG